ATGGCTTCTGAAATAAGAATTTCATCTATGTTGACTTCCAAATCATCGGCCAAATGTCGAAGCAGTAATTCCCAATCAAACTCGTGTGGATTTAATGGAATTGTTAACTTTACTTTTGGTAGATCATCTTTTATGGTATGACCGAGTACTGGTAGAGGAAGAAATATCGGGGTAATCTTTGAGTTAACGTCCGAAGGATCTAATGGAGTATTTGGTTTTCTCACAGTTTTATTAAAAACTATATTTTTGCATGCGTTTGTTATATGATCATCTATCACATCATGGGCCTTTAGTGGAATATTAACATTCAGTATGTCAAACGCATTCAATTTTTCTTGTGTAGTAAAAGTAACGTGATCAAATATATGAGGAGATGTTTACTTCGCATTCCTTTATGACGTTGCTACAACTTGTACTGTACAACAATATTATTATAATATAATCTCATATTTGAATAAACTATTTCAGTAAGTATGATATCTTTGGGCATAACTCTGGTATCTTCGACGATTCTGCTAGTGTTTGGAGATTTGTGCTTGTAATTGTGTCGCTATTTTCCAAAACATGATCATCTAGTACTAGATAATAATTTTCCGGTCCATCAAGTTCATTCTGTTGACACACACAGGAAATAATATCAAATATTGTTGTATCTGCTTGAACAGTAATATTTGATACAGTGCTAGTGGAACGAATTCGTATGGAAATGATCAAATTATTATTGACATTATTGGCACCTTCCTCATTCACTAAAACAGCAATTCATTATCATTTATAAATTACTAGTATCTATTACATATTATAACAAAGCAAACTACCCTTCGTCAAATAAGTTAAACTTGAAAACTGAAACTAGACCTTTAGAAAGAGAAATGTACTACAATATCTTTGGTTTGAATGTACCAACTAAAATCTGACCTCCTAGCACTTGATGTTCTTACTTTTGTTCGAAGCATTCACAACATTGATCAGAACAAGAATCAAGAGGAGCAAAGCGAGAACAGACGAGTCTTTATGTTGTGCATATATTTTAAATGAAAGATAACGACATTTTTGAAAATATAATCTTGTCCGAATACAATCTGTGTTAGCACCACGTCTAAAACTTACTTTGCTCTTGTAAGTCTTGCACGAAGGAATCTTTAATCCCGTCTATACCGTACGCATCTTAATAGAAGAAAAGATCTTAAGATTAACATTAGCTGATGTGCATACTTTCAAGTCCTACCTGCATCTGTTGGGTGATCTATCTTTTTTCGAAAGCAGTCACGACATCGCTCAGTGCGAAAGTTATCAGCAAGAAATCGAGAACATGCTGATCCTAATTCTATTTACGCATTGAAAATAAATGAAAATGCTGATTTCAATTGCATGCTCAAAGGAATATTTGAATTCATTTGGATATTGTATCTCAACCTTACTTTTTTCACTTGTTTCTTCAGATGAGTCATCGTGTACCATATCACGGCCACTTGATGCACAGCTGAAGACGTCTTTATATAGAAATTTATGGGTTTCATTCTAGAATATTTATTGAAGCCTTACCTGTAAATACTTCATGCTCTTCCTTTGGGAGGAAGCAGTCACGACATCGTTCAGATCGAAAATTATCAGAAACAAATCGAGAGCAAGTGATTCTTGACGCTGTTCATGCAATTAAAATAGGCCATAGCGATATTTTTTTAAAGTATACTTTCGTGTAGGCATCAAAACTGTTTTGCTATTACGTGTGAAACTTACTTCGCTCTTGTAATTCTTGTCGCAAGCCATTGTCGACCTTCCCAATATCGTATGCATCTAAGTAGTAAGTATAGCTTAAAATGAGTATTGAATGATATACATCCTTGTTAAATCTTACCTGCTTCTGATTGGTGATCTACATTCTTGTGAAAGCACTCACGGCATCGATCAGGACGGAAAGCATCAGCAACGAATCGGGAGCATGCATGTATTAATACTGCTTGTATGATTGGAATGAGAAGAACGTCATTTTGAACAGTTTGTTTCCCTTTATGCGTAAAGCTTTCTGTGTTACATGGAAAACTTACTTTTTTCAGACGTTTCATGGGGCAAGCAGTTGTCGCATCCTTGAGAATCAGTTGAATCTTGATTGTGAAAGCGTTCACAGATAGCGAAGTACTGAGATATTGGTCTATTTAAACATTTCCTCAGAAGTCTTACCTTTTACGATTTGGTGATCTGCTTCACATTGGAAGCAGTCTCGGCAGACGTGTGGTCGAAATAGATGCGGTGAAAATTTACGACAAGGTAGCATAGTCTATTGTTGGAAAATGTGATATTAGGATGTGGGTTTGGGTATGTGAGGTGTGGGTATGGGTGTGGACGCATCTCTTCTTCATTCACACTCACACCCCACACCCTATACTCACATCCACACCCACATTAAGGCGATCTTCTTTGCGAGATCTCTCGGGAACAGCTCAACAAAAAGTTATGTCACTTTTGAGGCAGGCAGATCTCGATAAGCGAAACGAAAATTGTCATAGGCTCAAAATTTCCAGATGTTTCTTTCAGGAATAAATGGGGAACTGCGAAGACCAAAAACGGTCAGAAGTTTCCCTCGCAAAGCTCTATACTTCATTTTTTCAAGGTGCAATTTTTTGTTATAAGAACTAGGGTCAAATCGAGATACTCGTTATTTTTTCTTTTAAAAATAGCGTTCCTAGAGATCAGAAGAAGCAAAAGGGTGTAGATGTGTGGGTGGGTGTGCTAATTGCAGTAGTTCCCATATCCACACCCACACCCACAATGAAAACTTTTCATTTACATAGCGTTCGATAGAGAAGACTTGGATGACTCTATCGAGCAAAAAAAAATCCAAATCGGAAAGAGTCAATTCTAGAGTCTAGGAAAGGGATACCCTTAATTAAAATGAGAACAGATGACTTTAAATAGCACAAAAGAGTGATTTGTCTTATAAATTGTTTTGATCTGCATAATGAGTTATTAGTTTGATAGATGAGTTGTTAGAATAATAATCTTACTTTTTGCCAAAAACGAATTGTTGAGAATTACTCTATTTTTGCTTAGTGTTCGTCAACGGGCAAAAGTCTAAAAAACAAAGAGTAATATGACCAAATTGTGTTTGCAAATAAATAATGAGAAAGATAACTTTGCACGATACGTCATGCAAACGTCAATGTGTTATCTTTATTGTGATGTTCGTTAAATGTTTACTGTATTTTGACTAAATAAATGAAAAGAAAGATGTTTCTTGTTATCATTTTCTGCCTATGTCACATTTTCGTTAATAATAATAATCAAAAGATGTATAGTAGTGAGTTTCGAAAGAGTTTCCTATCAATTCGATTCATAGTAATTGTTTTCTCATGATAAGCAGACAGTAACAGCCTGTTAACATCATTAGAAAATTCAGGTGAAAAAAGAAAATTTGAATAGTATATGAATGTAACTTTTATTTGAACAATGTATAGTGAATCATATAACAATCAGTTGAATGCTATTCGTCCGTTTTCTGTTCGATATTGCACGCGACATAGCTCTCTGATTCACTGAATGATTCAATGACGATCTCGATCATTCATTGTTGGTTGTTCGAGAATCTAAAATCCAAAAGACAATTGCAGAGACATACTATTCAATCCACTTATAGATATTCATCTAGGATATGGATGTAGATGGGTGATAAGGATTTTCTCACCTTAATCCATATCCACATCCTCCACAATGGCAAATAAAATATACGTATAACGACCGAATTGTGCAAGTCAAGGAAAAGAAGCAGAAGCATGAGAAGTAATATATTGATCAACACACAAGCAATTGTCACATCACTGATCCGAACAACAGCACCAGACGATCTCATCCAAGGTAACCATCACTTACTTGATTTTGAATAACATAAATAGAGTATGATGAGTTGCGTCGAATGGCGTTTAAATGAACTTTCTAATTTTATAAGTTTCCGAAATAATTATACTATCCATTCGTCGATTAATTGGTATAGTTGAGATTCATTTTTATACAGAATGTTGAATAAAGTGCTGCGTATTCAAGATATTGAAACGCTCTATCACATGCGTCTATTCACTGGTGATCTTCATCGACAATTGAACTATCGAAATAGTCCAATAGAACAGATTCGAACACTTGAAATCGACTACATCGGCAAGAACATTCATTACAAGTTTCCAGAATTTCTACGTTCATTAGATGAAGAAAGGAGGGATCTAATTTTTACATGAATCTCAGTTTTAGACACGGTAATTAGTTTCAATTATTGATGAACAACTAACAGTAGCAAGCAGAATGATTTGACGGGCTGAGCGAAAACGGCCAAACAATAATCGAAACAGCCGCAATTCATGCTAAACAAAGAGTCATAAGGCAATCGTAAAATTATCATACGATTCCAAGAAAGTCGTCACTATATACAGAGCATCATTCCATTCGATAGACGAGCATATTTCTTGTAGCTTCTCAACGACTCACTCGAAAGCTCTGATATTTTTACCGTAAGCTTTTCAGACATCTCTCTTAAAACCGAAAAAACATCGAATAAATATCTCTATACAGTGCAAACCAGAAAGGAACGATATCTTTTGGCGCTTTTCGGTCGATGAAGTATACATTCTATTAGTCAATGTAAATAACGAATCATTATTTCACTTTTGATTCATATGCTACTGACGCATACGATTTTGCGCCGACTTACTTTTATTATTCTACCCCAGCATATATTCTTATCTTTTATTTTGTTCTTTCTTTAATGCAACGTGTGCGACGATAGATAAGGAGAGCAACACCAAAACATAATACTTTCTACATTCTGCACGTGTATTATGGCAATACTTTTTGTCCTTGTCGGAATTCTGCTGACAATATTTTTTGTATATGTCAAATTAAAGTACTTTATCCTACGTGGTCCTTTGCCGGGAAAACCACCTCAATTTTTATTCGGAAATATCGTACACACAGGTATATCAAGTGGAGTTTCGCCAGCCACTGTTAGCTTGCAAATGCAAGCCGAATTTGGCGATGTTTATCAATTTTGGGTGGGACCGATGCGAGTTATCGGTCTATGTAACGCTGAAGATATACAACATGTCTTTGGTCATCGACACATCTACGAACAAGGCAGTCTATACAGAGATCATCATACTCATTTCTTCTCAGAAGCAATAATTTGCAATATAGGTCAGTGATAGATGACAATTTTGTTGAAAAGTTCGATTTTCTAGTAATATAGTTTATGATTCCAGGAAGAAAATAATATCTTATTAATCAAATATCAAGCATAAAAACCTCTCAGCATAATTCATTTGAGGCTAAAATGTGGAATTCACATATATTTTTCTAAGTAAAATACCTATGTTTTGAATCTTCACTCATATTTAGCTATCTGACATAGAAGAGGGTGAATGGAAGGGAGCTGCAAAAACGTCGATTTATAATTTACGGTCACTATTTTTCTTCGAAAAATATATGTTAGTACCACAAAAAGATTGAGATTATTGGAATTTTTTTCTGAATTTTAAACAACTCACTAAATTCTACATGCTTTCAAATTGTGTATACGAAGAAACAGTAGTCATATTCAGTTATTGTATTTTTATTTCAGGAGCTAAATACAAGCGTCATGCAAGCATAATTCTTCCTCTATTTCGTCGGAGTAACGTCTTAGACAGTTTGGAATTAATCAATGATTGTACAGACCAATTACTCGATCGATGGCGTTCAAAGAATGATGATCCTACTCGTATTCATCTTGATATAGGAAAACAATGTCAAGACCTATTGCTTGCAATCTTTGGTTTAATAGGTTTTGACTTTGATCTACAAACGTTGACAGATGATGATAATGATGCCAAAAATAATAAACTCACAAAATCTTTACATGAGTTTTTGAATATTTTTATGATGACTATAGCTATGCCATCAATCATGACCAAAATCTATCTGAAATTCAGTACTCGATATCGCCAAGCATTCAATATTATCAACGACTATGTAGATAGCATAATTGAGCAAGAACAAAACAAAACACAAGAATCGATTGGCAAACGAAAAAGAAATAGTCTAATTGCATCACTCGTTTATTCATTACATCAAGATAAGAAGAATGAGGCGACAAAGTCAAACGACAAACAGAAAGGTAAATTAACTATTTTCGATTCCATTTTTACATTTTTTTCGATAAAATTATCTTTTCATATCGAAAAACTACTCTGTAGTTTTAGTATTTATATAAATTGTATCTTCAACATCACGATCGAGGATCGTTGATTCTATTATTCTCGTCTCTAGCGCATGTTCTGATCTCAAGTACTTGATCCTGTAAAATAGAAAGTAGGTTGTATTTCTATTAGTAGTTTATTGTGTGAAGTAGTTGGTGAAAACAGCAAATAATCTAGTATTTGAAATCAATACATTCATGAAGGTTGTTTAGGATTATCCCGCACTGAAGTACTCCATGAAATACTCCTATTTCTTATCGCCGGTTATGAAACAACATCATGTGCACTCACATGGTTTATTCATCTAATGAGTAAAAATCCTCGAGTTCAAGCAAAAATCAAGGCTGAACTAGGCGATAACAAATTTCAACGTCTGTCTATCGAACAGCTCGATTCTCTTGATTATTTGAATTGTGTTATTCAAGAAGTATTGCATTTTTCTTCACCTGCCGTTAGCACATTTCGTACTGTAACTGTCGACGATCGACTACCAGCAAGTGGAGCTCAGTTATATAAAGGCGATGAACTAATGATTAATATGTATAATTTAACACGAGATAAACGCTATTGGAAGATCGATCCGGATCTATTTTATCCTGAACGATTTCAAGGTGATGACAAAGATCATCATCCATATGCATCGATTCCATTCGGTGGTGGTCATCGACAATGTATTGGACAAGAATTAGCTCGATTAGAATTGAAAGCAATCACCAGCAGACTTATGCAACATGTAACTTTTCGTGATGGTGGTCCAGAAGTCAATGCAGGTGGACACAACCAGACACTTACGCTCATGCCAAAGAATGTCGGGGTCATTATTACATTCGACTAATTTTTAACATTCTTCAGACATTTACTTTCTTAAGTATGTGATGAAATCAATAATACTTTTTTGTCACTTCGACAGAAGCTCTTCCAGGATGCAGAAATAAAGGAAATCTATCGTAAATTGTTGCTCAGTCAATTCTCAGTATGATCGATTGAAATATCTCACCATTCTTGGTGATGTCTATGCTCGTTTCAACATTCTTTCCTTGATTTATTTCGAAGTTCGTCGTTATTATTTCCATTGTAGACTTTTGTCAACGTGTGAATCATTTCATAACAAACGTATCTTTTCTTGTCAAATAGTTTCACTGGCATTTCACTATTTGTCGTCAAAAGAGATAAGAATTACAATGCCAAATACTTTGCATCATCTTCTTCGTTTCATATAAAATATACACATGGTCATCTTGAACTGTTATACTTGTTTTTGGGATAAAGAGTAATGATATTATCGCTCAAATATTTTTTTTCACAATGATCGACTAAAGTGAGAGTGTTTCAATGGTCCTTTCGATACCAGTCTCATCATCGATATTTTCGTGTGTATCAGACGACGGCGATCTTCTACAAAATATGTAACACAGACATGTGAGACGTGATCTCAGTTTTTCCTTTCTTGAATACTTCATTTCGTTATATTCAGCTGTAAATTTAGTGAGAGAAACAGATAAGTAGATCAGTGTCTTGCAGCCAGAATCACGAACGAGTTTTGATTCAATTTTATCAAATCAAGTTCGAGTTGGGCTATAGAAGCTTTTGAGTTAAAAATTTTCGTCAATAGCACTTGTCTATTCTTCCTGCTGATGTACAAGAATGTCATTCGTATTTTGTGAATGAATTTTATCCACAATATAAAGGAAACATCCAAGAATAGTATTTCTCTCAAATTGGTTTTACTTTTTCATTCAATGACGTTTAGTTCTTTTCGATTCAGTCGTTCGATTAAATAAAGATTTCACGTCAATGCTTCATAAATTTTCAGAAATCTAAACAATTTTTTCGAAAGTAACAAACTGGCGTGAATAGAAATCATAGAGCGAAAAGGAAAGAAAAAAGCGACAGAAAATCACCATGATACTCGTATTTAATGGCCTTATCTAGTCAATGTTCGCTTCATTCTATATGAATCCGTACAATACCGTCAGTGTTATCGTCAAAAAATCAACAGAAAAATGAATGCTCCAAAAGTCAGAATACGGAAGAAAAACTGAATCTCTCCACCTAGTTTCAATTTAAAGAGCAAACTTTTTTTGTGCTGATAGAAGAAAATTCCAAGTTTTTATTTGTACAGAAAAGTTTAAGAAAAACCAAAAGAATATAAACGAAAGCTATTCTATACAAAAATTTACTGTTTTCATGAAGAAGTAACAGTAGTCTTCCGAGTCTTCGGAAATTTCATCCGTATACAATTGGATGAGTAGTCACAGAAGACATGATATTCGAATTTGAAAATAACTATCCTATCGATTCATCGACGAGTCGTGTCGTCATAGATCTTGATAATTTTGTGAGATGTTATGTTTGGATACACATTGTGTCTGAGTCCAAATTGTAAAAAAAACATCTAATATGAAACGAATGTAACCGAATGAACAAGAATCGAGTAGTCGGTTTGAACGGAAATTCGTTGTCATCGATGTCGAAGAATCTCCAACAATGAAATCTCTTCTGATTATTAAATCGATACAATGTACCAATCGGTCAGTCGACACACCAGAGTAATTATTCAATTAAGCGAATATCTCAACAACATCGAATCCACCTGTAATACATCATTGTGTTTACTTTGAAAATAGTTTTTCAATTGGAAATTCAAATGATTTTGAACGTTTTATAATTAGAAAATTTCTTTGATCAAGAATCAAAAAATCTCTTCATCGACATTCACCTACACCCCAACAAGGCAGAAGTTTGCCTCACTTATTGATGGATTCAAGACTCATAGTAATAGTGCAAAATGACGAGTACAATTCATTTCTCTTTTTGATGATGGAAAATTTATTGGTCGTGCACCTATCTATCGTTTTGGTCATGCTATTTTGTTTCTGAATAAAAACAGATCGAACATTAATCGGAGAGTATAGACATAAAACATTTTTTACAATACGTTGTCCAAAGAAATATCTTTCGGTGAAAAGAAAAAAACTCAATGAATTACTCTTGAGTCGAAATCTCTCGGCGAGCGTCATTCGAGACTCTTCTGAGGAATTTCTGAGTTTAGTTTCCTGCGAAAAACGAACACTTTACACTAATACAGTTACATCGAACAAAACGTGATATTTCATAGTTATCCTGCTTCTTGAGAAAACTTTCTTCTATCATCAGTCTGCTATATAAGGGCAATAACAATTGTTTTGCATAGAAAATTATATAATATTTAAAAAAAAATATTACTATAGATTAACTGAATCATTTCTTCTTAACTGTGAATCAGTCATTTATTTTAGATGAAGTTATTCCTATAATCAAATGCAGCAATAAAACAAACTGATGTACAATTTCTGTTAGAATTTGAAATACATTCCAAATATTGTAATTTAAATATTTTAATGAGAATCTGATAGTCTATTAGGATTTCTGACGATGACGAGCATTTGACAACCAAAATTTTGATCAGCTTGATAAGGCCCATGTTTCATTCCAGGATTGCGCCATGCATGATATCCTTTACCAAATGTTTGACCAAGAGAAAGATCAGTAATAGCACCTTCTAGGATGTAAACTTCTTCATGAAACGTATGCGTTATGATATCATTACCAGTATTGAAACCACATGGCCATGTTTGTATACTAGTCTCTTGAGATAATTGTGTTATACAGATTTCTTTTGATTCACATAATGGAAATGAAGGAAGGTTAGGTTGATAAAACTCACGATTATTCATATACATGTTTTGCATGATTTATTTTGATAGTAAACGATGACTATTAATTATTATCCACTGTGTATAATGGCGAACGACGGCGACACAGAAAATCTAAATATTAACGCACTGTTGTTGAATGAAAATAAATAGAAAGATGAAACCAACAATATACATAAAAAAAACGTGTAATCACAAGATAAGAAAAAAGTAACACGAAGGTATTTGTTTGCTCTTCTTATAAATATCACCTGTTACATTTCAATTGAAGATACGTATTGGAGGGTATGGAGGTGGATGCGTGTGGATAATGAGAAGATTCAAGCCCACATATTTTACAATTATTTTTAATTTTATTTATTTCTTGAACAATTAAATGAAGAAATTATTAGGAGCAAATATACTTCTCTTAATTGTAAACGGGAAAAGATAAAAGTTCGTTGAATTAAAATTATAACTAGGGTGTGGGTCTTCTCTAAATCCATACTCATACCCACACACGCGGCGGCACATATACTATTCATTGACGATCGAAAATCCCTGTCGATGTTGACCTACTTGCCACAGCCGTTCAAACAGTTACCGGACATATAATGCCATTGTATGTGTAAAGATACGGGAACGAAGGCTCCTTTATATATTTGATTATTTTGATTGAAAATGATGAAACATCAGTCTCTGAATCACTTCCGAAGATAAGAATGGAAATATAGTGATTCTTCTATGTATGTTTTAGCTTCTTGCTAAAAACCGATCAGACACCCTTCCTAATAACGTATTTGAGCTGAAACAGTAACAGCAACGTCAAAAACAGATAGAATTGAGTATTAAAACCAAAGTGAAATAAGAGAACTGATTATTTATTGCACAAAATTACTGTTATGTTTTGATAAATCAATATTTGTCAAGCTTTATTTGTTATTAAAATATTTTAGGAGTCATTTACCAATTATGTCACATCCTTTGCACAAAAAATTGCTTTTCAGAATCGATCGATCTTCTTTGATAGAACTTCATAGTCATCTGATAGAAATGCCATGATGCCAATACACCGGGAAATCGACAATCACTCAATACAATACTGCATGGATATCCTCGTCATTCGCCCAGATGAACTATATCTCCTTGAAACGGACACAATTTGAGGAGATTCGGAATATTCGAATAATAGGAGTTTCGCGACTGAGGAAGTGGGGAAGGCATCGTATTGACGGACCTCAAATCATTGATCAGCGGTCGGGAGTCAGAACGCTGTGTAGACGGATTTTTAGAGGCAAGGAACGTTACTTCCTAACGAATGCTCCAAATCATCTCAAATCCTTTAGCTCCTAGAGGACATAGTTTGTTTGGGAGAGTGACGAGGGTATACGCTCTGTATTGTGTTATTTGGCTGCCAATGCATGGTAGTTGCCTTGTAAAGACGAATTCTGCACTAGTAAGCATACCAAGACTACCAACATCATTCTCCATCCAGTGATCTCATACATTGTGCGTACTATTTCTGAGAGAAGTAATTGATGCGCTTGATGAGTTCTGCAGATTCTCTTTCGGATTCGCTCTTGAATTTGATTGACATTTCTCTTCTTCTATTGGTGATTGTTGTTTGATGTTGTAGTCAACAATCTGATTGATCATAGACTGATCGTATCGATCCGAATCGGAATTATGACCTGCGTTTTTATTTCCATTTTAGTTTCATTTTTTTTCTTTTTATTGTTTCGCTCTTGATGACTATTTTCTCGAGAACTTGTTGTCATTCGTTGTATCAGTGCATAATTGAGTTTAGTCATCTGACATTTTTCAATCATTTCACATAGTTTTTCTTTTAGAAGAATTTCTCTTAAAATATCAATGTTATAAGAAAATGCGAGCAAAAAACTGTTGTTCTACTTTATATTGATTCGACGATCAGACGACTAGTCAAGTGAAAGGTAAACTCGATTAGTGGATCATTATGAATCACAACAAGTTCGAACAAAAAATGATAAAAAACTTAGAATCTTAAGACCATCAATTACAAACGGAAGACTTGAACTACATTTATGATCCGTTTCAAAATTACGAGAGAAAAATATAATTTGAAATGGCGTAATGGTGTTAATTTGTTTTCGAAAGTTCGTTTTCTTCCTTCAAATATTACATAGTGCAGTTGAGACTATATTGCCAATTGAAACGAAAATAAACATCAATATTGTTGGACGTTGATACAAATAAGACTCAAAATAGGTTAATCTTTGTTAATTGATATGTAAAAGATAAACATTGCTTTGTTTCTTTTTCTATCGCTCCATGTATCATCCAAGACAAACAGCATTAGCTATGAATAACATCGGTTGAAGTTCTGTTCTAATATCTCATTGTTAACAAGACAAGACAGGATAATAAGAAATGCGAAGAGAATAAGACTTACTATTGTGGTTATCTATAACATGAGTGACAGAATAAAGACAAGAGAGATATGTTGGTTGATGAGAATAAGTTGGCGAAGAGAATCATAGAACAACGACATTTTGCATATTGTCTAGTTTTTTTTTTGCGTTAGTATTGTTCTTGTTCGCATTCGTCTTGGCTTGATTGTTAAGAGAAGAATGTTGCCAATTGAATATATTGGTCGTTCAAGTTCATCAGAAACAAATTTTGATTTTGATGTTTTTAATGAACAATGGTTAAAGTCGAATGAAACAAATCAATTACATTGGATTTGTCGACCAAATTTGAATGTAATTCGTCATCGATATGCAACAGATTTGGCCGATCTTGAACGAATTAAAATTCGCTGTGACATCAATGATCTTCGTGAAGAAACAATTCGAGTGAGTCAATCGATATATTAATATTAGATTGTCTCGTTTTTTTTTCTTGTTGCGGGTCGATGCCGACAAAGGACTCGTAATCATCAAAGCATTGCGACAAACATCTGACAAAAATGTTTTTGAAAAACGTGTTGAATTGAATAGTGATGTCGATATACAAACGATGATGTCGTTCATTGATCCACAACGACACGAACTCATCATTGCAATGATCGTTGCCAATGTTCAACATCGACGTGATTCGTTGCCAACGATCAATACTTCATCACGTCGACGTTGTTCACTACAAACATCGTCTTTGAGTGATGTACGACGATCATCAATACCAGGTAAATAAATTTTAATTTTCTCGTATTTTATCTCGCGATCAGGATTGACTAATAATGATTTACTCATGGAAATTCCACCTGAATTTATTGTCATGGGCAAAATATTGAGCATTGAAAAACATACAGAATTGTTCATCGGTGGTCGTCATTTGTCTCGACCTCCACATCCAATTCGAGTACAACACGGTTTATGTCTTGTCGAGGTACATGACTCTTCAAAACAATCATCCAATGAGAATGACTCTCAATCAGGTAAGAAAATCGATGTTTGAAACATATGACTTCTTATTGTGTTGTTAATTTTCTAATTAGTGATACAAATCAAAATCGATTTATGTCCGGAATTTCTTCGCAATGAACAGAAAATTATTATTCGAGAAAATTCAACGATTCCTCTTGGATCATTATCAGGCAATTGGATTGATCTCTATCGAGATCAAAGTTCAGCACCGGTCAATGATGTTCTCATCGAGATTAATTCAGCTGATTTGATTCGAGATCGAACAATTCTTGTACAGAAAAATTATACATCGATGATCAATGGAGAAGAATTGAATAATGAACAAAAACGTCGTTTGAATGAAAATCCATATACAAAATTGGATCGATTGAACTCGAATAGTCAGTGATAAATAAATGTCATTTGAATCTTATCGATGATCATTTCTCATTGTAGATCTCATGGAAATAACTCTCAAATTGGCTCCGGACTTGTTGTCTACCGGTAGATCATTCATTATCCGACAGGAACTCGCTTCTCCATTAGCCATCGAACTTCAACAACATCAGCGTCGTCATTCTCCTCTTAACTCCGATCAAGAACAGGTCTGAGAAAAAAAAATTTTCATTTCTCATCGCTTTCACGATATTTCGTGTAATACAAAAAAAGAATCATATCGATAATTATTGTAGACAAAACATGATGATACCGAAACAACAATGTCAATCAAAAAATTCATGACGAAACGTGTATGGAATCCATCATTATCATCTGATGAACGTCGATTACAATTTCGTGTTCCTTGTCTCAATGCAACGATGAAAACTCGACCCGATCAATATCGAATCAAGATCGATGAACATCACCATCATCTACGTATCGAAGTTTATTTAGAACCGACTTATATTCGATATCGAGAAGTTATGTTGCCTGTCTCAGCTCAACTAGATCAACTTACGTGTAATTTCGATGATGAAATGACTTCTCTGAATGTTTCTGTTCCTCTTCAGTGAATGTTTTGATCGCTTTATTCATGTAACAGAATCCAGAAATTTCCCTACATTATGCTTGGTTTTTCCTATTTGATTAAAACAAATCCCACAACTCGTGCGTCCTCATCATTCATTGCAAAACAAAAATAAATATTGATTATTTATTTCTACTGCAACGACGAAAAATTATGAAACAATACTATTGCTGATCGAACTGAGAAAGAATCGTTCTATTTCCGATATACACAATCTTGTTTGGAAAGTATCCAGACAACTATCTATTTGTTTGTCTCTTTCTCAATTTGTGCAGTCAGAACAACAGATTTTTTCTTAAATGAGATATTCTAACCCCTATGAGAATTAACAATCGAGATTGTTATTTCGAATTTTAGGAAACTTTTTTCGAACCGTACAGAATGAGATTCATTTCTCTTTTACACAACGGTACGCATTCATTTGGCATCCAAATAAGACGCACCGACATGCAGATACAAAACCATTACTGCAACACACGCGACTATTTTTTCGTAACTAGCATAGCCGCCTTTTTTAAAAGGGTGTGGGTGTGGGTGAGGACGTGGGCCAAAAGAAGATGAATGTCCACACCCTACTGGGAAATCTAAAGGGAGCCACACTACTACCCAGAAAAAAATCAAACAAACGCATTCTTCACATTTTAATGTAAAATTTCTTCCATACTAAAAACCTGTTCGATATATTCACCGTTAGTAATTACATGTCTCTTTCGATACACCATGGCCGTTTTTTTCACAGATAAGTATTATATCACTTTAGATACGTCGCTTGTTTCAAGGCCACATGCTACTTCTTCGAGTTTGAAAATATGATGAGCTCATATCCAATTAAGTGATCTGCAATTGACTGAACCGACATTTAAACGATCTAAGGGTGTGGGGTGTGGGTGTGGTAACATCTTCGATGAATTTTCTTATTCTCTTGCATGCGTAAAAATAATAAAAAAGAAACATAAAAGTAACTTAAGATGTGTTCACAAACAAGATGAGATGATATTACAATGTTTAAAATGTTCATGT